CGCTTGTTGTGTCGCTGCGCGCCTCGTCAGCTGACTGCACCGTACGCGTCGCTAAGACCTGCTGTGGCAATCCCTAATGTGACGCTGCATGCCCGCAACAATGTCACGCAGGAGCTAGAACGTTACCCGGGTCGCGCGTAGCACTCGACACTATAAAAAAATCACGCTGCGAGTGCCTGCACGTAACCAGGCGTCCGCGAACTTCTCGCGCGACGTTGCGCACAGCCTGGGCTGGCGTGCGCGCGCTCGGGGTCTCCTGGGTAAAAGCACACGTACACCTAGGACTCTTGGCGTGCCCGCAGCGCCTTATGCGCTGCTCGACCCCAGTCACCGATGGTCTTCGGCGCCGTTTTCCCAGTGTGGTCACGACTCAACCGTGGCCTATAATCGGTCAACCCCTATAGGCCACACTGTGGTTGTGACCAACAAGGCCTCTTTATAAGCTCTCAAGTCTTTAAAACCCAGACCCCCAACCTCCTTAGGTTTAACTAGCCTATCCCCAACAAAACCAGTGAACTTTGCTGCCACCAGAGGCATTCAACGCCCACCAGAAACTTGTTATCCATGCAAATAGCATTATTAACACCCACAAGCACTCTAAAGTAAGAAAACACATAAGTAGGCATAGTAGACAAGACAAATTTTATCAATACATCACTTCCAACTTCTGTCAATAATTTATTTTTCCAATTATGCAATCTCTGAGCCACACAGTCTCTCACAAAAGAAAATATCTCTCTTTTTTGCCTACCTTTGCCTAAGGAAAGTCCAAGATATTTAGAGGAACTCACTCTAGTGATACCTGGTAACACATTGCAGATGGCATTCTTAGTGTCTTCACAGGTGTTCTTGGGAAAGAAAATAGAGGACTTATCAATGTTGACTTTCTGACCAGTAGGTACACAATTACCAACCTTAATCCCTTTAAAATTGGAAACAATCCTAGCCTGAGATCAACCTGTCAAGCCTCTAAAAGGCTTCAAAGGACTCAAGCAGTCCCCATTAACGCTAAAGGAAAAGACAGAAGAACACATGCAAGCCAAGACCCAAGGGATAAATTTATTACGCAAACCCATATTTCTTAAGATTCTAGCAACAAAATTGCATTCCACCCTATCATAGGCCTTGGCCATATCAAGTTTAATGGCCATGAAATTATCATTCCTTTTCCTTTTACTATTGAGAAAATGAATGCATTCATTAGCCACTACCACATTGTCAAGGATTTGCCTCTCATGAACATAGGTTGACTGGGAGGATGAAATGTAAACAAAGAGAACACCCTTAAGCCTATTAGCATTAGAAATTAACATGTAAATGACATTGCAGAGACTAATGGGTGTAAAGTCAGACACAGAAGTGGGGTTGAGCTTTTTATGGATCAGAGAGATAACATGTGATCAAGACTCTTAGGCAACTTCCCAGAACCAAAGAAATTTTGAACAACTTAGACGAGGTGATGCTTAATTATAGACCAATATGATAGGAAAAAGGCTGCAGTTAAACCATCAATGACAGGAGCACTGTTCTGATCCATGTTCATTAGGACTGTTTTGATCTCCTCTTCACCAACCTCTGTAATCAATCTCAAGTTCATATCAGAGTTAATAGAAATTGTAATACCTTCAACGCTACAACATTGTCTCTGAAGCTTAGAAGACTTAAACAAATCTCAATATAATTCATAATTCTGCCAAAGTTTTATGATTAGACTCACATTTGGATCCACCATAGTTAAACATGATGTCTAGAGAATTTAGAATTTCTATCACCTTCTTTTAGCTAATAAATTCTAATTTTGTTATTTATACGATTATTAATATTGTCTCGTGCATCGCGTAAAAAAGAATAAAAGAAAATCTATATCTATATATATATATATAAAGGTTGTTGTTAAAATACCTTTTTAGAAACTTTTGACCAAAAAAAAAAAACTTTGACAATCTAAATATAGAAACCATATTTACTGCATTTATAATACACGAAATTTTAAAAAAGTTATACTTCAATTCAAAAATTTGTTTATTAGAGATATTATTGGGATTGTGGATAAGTCATAATTAGATCCATAATTATCATTACAGGATTAATTCAAAAATTAATTAGTTAGAGATATTATAGGGATATTTGGATAAGTCTCAATTGGATCAATAATTATCATTACATAATTATGCGAATATTGAGTTCAAAAACGGTTGTTTGGTATAAAATCATATGCACTACCACTATTCAACAATTCACGTCATTCACAGTTTAGAAAAAAAAAAAAAGTTCACGTCATTCACAGTAGAGAAAAAAAAAACCGAGATAAATTGTACAGAGAAAAAAAAAAGATCAATTTCAAAACACATTGATAATAAATGCCGCCAGTCTGGGATACACTTCATTCCGTGAGTAGGAGAAACAAGCCTTTTTTGCACTTGAAAGCAATCCTAATAGTTGAAACGCATCACCAACGGGAGAGTTAGAACGCATTCCATATATGTTTCATGATGAACAGGTAAATATTTTTATTTATAATATCAAATTTATTTAAAAAATATTTTAATTCATAGTTATAAATTTATATTGTAGGGTATATTCATTAAAGGGATAATACGTTCCAAACATATGGGAGCATTTCGAGGTATACTGAACGAATGTGAGGTGTATGCGATCAACAACTATGTCGTTGAATTTAATCATGGGAAGAAGGATATCATAACCAACATATGGAAACTTGTGCTTCATGGAAGAACTCATGTTATCAAATATGGTGGGATTTTTCCTCAAAATGTTGATATTTTCCCTCAACATTAGCAAGGAGCAGGAGATATTTATGATATTTAGAGTTTGATTATTTTGAATTTTAATTTCATTCCATGTCGTTGAATTCCGAATTCTATAATAAATTCCAGTGTTATTATATTTGTTATCCTTATAAAAGGTCGTTGGATATTTTTTTTTTTATTAAATGTCGCATGAATGTGAAAATTTCCCGTGTCATTTTATTTTTGACTTCTACTGTATATTAGTTTAAAATTGGTAGAATGTCATGATATAAGTAATAAATTAATACAAATCCTAACAAATATTTCAAATATAAGATTATATAAAAAAAATTACGGAATTAACAATAACTGAATTAAGTACATTTAATGTATTATATTGCCTGATTTTTCAATAATTTATTATAATGGATTATATTCATAAATATGAATATGATTTTTGATTATAATATTTATATTAATTTGTGTTATTTATAAATTATTATTATTAAAATTTTGACGTAAAAAGATGGAAATATTTGTTTGACGTAAACAATTTTGACGTAAAAGATTATAATATTTGTTTGACGTAGAATTTTGACGTAAAAAATTTTTCAACAATTTTTTTTTGTATCACATTGGTATTGACCGAAATTTAATGGAAAGATGGTAATTATGTAACGATGCTATCACACAAAAATCTCCACATTTTAACTACTTTGCACCTATCTTATCATCATACATGATAAGGTTGAAAATTAATATACAGTATTTAAAATTGGTTTAGGTTTTTATTGACCGAGTATCACTCTTTGAATTTCATTTGAATTCAAAATTGCTGTATTTATTATTTAAACAAAAAAATTTACGGAATTAACAATAACTAAATCAAGTACATTTAATTATAATATCTAATATCTAATATTATTCTTTTTTTCAGGGAGGTCGAATTACTGGAATAGTAAGAGCAATCAACATCCCAACTTTCATCAATGAATTCGAAGAAGGTGTTGTCTATGCATTTCGAAACTATCAAGTCGAGAGTAATATCGGAATTTATAGATCCACCATTGCACAATACAGGCTTATACTACATGGTAGAACCGAACACATAAGCTACAAGGGTGACTTTTCAATTTTCCGTTTTGACTTTCGAAGGTTCAACACATTGATTGATATCGAGAAAATCGACGATACAATGCTATTTGGTAACTGCATTTTCACTTATTTAATTTTTTGTATAAGCCTGAGTATTTTAATAGTATCAAGTGTTCCGGAATACCGAACCATGAGTTGTATTTGAAGATTGGAATTCCAGTCATGTTGTTGCGGAACATGGATCATTCTATGGGTTTGTGTAATGGGACACGATTGGTAGTGACAAAGCTATCGACTCACGTTCTTGAGTATAAGATACTCACAGGAGATCATTCTGGTGATAAGGTGTTGATTCCAAGAATGACAATAACTCTTTCTGATGTTAGAATTCCTTTCAAGTTCCAGCGGCGACAGTTTCCCGTTATGGTTTCTTACGCCATGACTATAAACAAGAGCTAGGGACAATCCTTATCTCATGTTGGCTTATTTTTCTTAAGAAATCAGTGTTCAGTCATGATCAGTTATATGTTGTTGTTTCCCGTGTCACTAACCGAAAAGGTTTGAAAATCTTAATTTGTGGCGAAGATGACGTACCAAAGAATCAAACTGATAATGTTGTATATAGGGAAGTGTTCAATAATATATGATTTTTTCAATTTAATGATATATTTCTATGTCTATTATTATGATCATGATCATTGCCTGCATAACACAATTTATATATCAAATTGTTTTTTAAAAATATTATAGATAATAATATCCACGTGCATTGCACGGGTGACTAATAGTTACCAATAAAGAACCAAGTACAAAATAAAGGGAGATGTTATGGTTCTGCTATAAAATCATCTCGTCTGAGTTTGTAACCGTTAGATCAACTATCCCCGACAATTACATGATGATTAAATAGTTGCAAACTCCGATGAAATAGTCCCGTAACGTAACATTTCCCCAAAATAAATTGACAATGGTAACACAAGGCAGGCGTTGATTTCAAATTCAAATGTGATTACTTTCTAGATCCGACCAGAAAACCTTAAATGACGTTTCTCTCCCTCAAAAATATCTGTTGACTTGATACCCTCTGTCGTACAAACAAATTCTTTAAAACAGAGAACAAAAAAAAAAGAAAAAAAAAAGAAACACAAAGATCGAATGAAGAAATCTCCACACACAAACAACAGCAGGAAGTTGATGGAGCCCCGGCTGACGGACCCCGAAATTGACGCCGCCCTTCAGCTCATACAGCTCAGCGGCGACTCCGCCGCGAGGACGGCGGACCACAGCCGCGAGGAAAGCGTGGGCGATTCTCACGAGATATCCTCCAACTTGGAGAGGGCAATTAACGGCGAGCTCGAGTGGCTCCCTCGAAGGAAAAAGCGATTTCGATCCATAGACGACGTTTACAGCGCCACCAGGCCGTTAATTAAGAAGCGCGGTAAGAAATCCATCGACTGGTGAACAAAATTCCTCCAATCAATTTTTGTATCGGCCCACAACTTTTTTTTATTTCCCTTTTTTTTTTTTGAGGAATTTTAGGTAGTTGTTATCGATTAGTCTGTATGGGTATGCGTGTACAGTGCTAAAACCTATGATGTGCGTATGTTTGTTATGATATACTATTATGTACCTGACATTGGGACATTTTGGATTTCTTTCTTTCTTTTTTATTTTCCAAGATTGTGATTGGTTTTTAATTGAATATCTCAAATTATTTTCTGGGTTATTAACTTATTATCGTTATTCAAAAAAATGTTTTCTTTCAAATGGATAAGAAATGACATGCATAACATTTCAAAAATGTTGGGTTCCTAATAATATTAATTTGTAGTTACGAATACAGCAATTGAATTGAGTTGAATGAACCAATCCGGATAGTGTTTGATGACTATTCCAAGATGTTCCTGATTAGAATTGCCATGTAAGTATGTAAATCATTGTATAATTTGTTTACTGTTTGTGCATTCGAATCCAGGTGGATCCAAATCAAATCTCCAAAGGCTCCTAACACTGACATGTTTGGTGCATAACGTACTTTTTAGTTATGATTTAATTGAGATCTTCGCTTTAGGTGAGGATCATAAAAAGAGCTTCTAAGCCACTTGTACATTTAAAGACCCGATAATTGGAATATGTACATGCTGAAAAGTTCGGTTTATTGAATAATTTTGTTCATGAATCATTTTAGGAATCGTACCAGCCTACCAGGTGTTCGGTTAAATCTATTCTTTTGAGAACCTGGAGTGAATAAAATAAAAACATTTGAATTTTATTATGACACAAGAATAGTTTCTTTAGAGAAGAAATGAAACAAAAAAGAATAAATATTTCAATTATGATGGAAGAACCTCTTATTTGAGGAACAGAAATGATTAAAAAGAAATGTTTATATTCCGGTCATGGTGCACAAATCGGCTAATCTTTCCTTATATATAATTAACGAATTTGGTGATCCTAAGTAGCAGACTCGCATGCTTTGGGATCCTTTGTGACAAACTTTCATGCTTATTATTTGACTTGGATAGTTTTAATTTATGTCCAATCCAAAAATAATTAGGGTCCGATTATCTATAAATATGTTGATTATTTATGGGCATTTTACATGCATTAACTGTATTTTAATATCATTTCCTATTATAAAAATTAAATTGTAAATGTATTTTAAAAGTTAATAACTTTTATATTTTTTTTATCAATTTTACATATGTAATATATCAAATTAATTATCTTTTGATGAGTTTCGATTTATCATCCATATTGTATTTATAAAATAAATAAATTATATTTATATTTTTAATAATAATAAAATTATTTATTAAGATTAATTACAAAAATAAATTATTTATTAATTAATATTTTTATGTTTAAAGTAGTTATATGATATAAATTAGAAAAATTATTATAATAAAACACATGTAAGTCGCACAAGTAACAAGTGTCGTTCTAAAATATATAATAATATATATTTTTTGTAAAAAAAATAAATTTTAAAATACTTTTTTCTCATTAATGTAAAAGTTTAAGAATAATTTTTTTAACAAGCGCCCGTGCACTACACGGGTACTTGTTAAGAAAATTATATTTAAAATTAAATAATAATAACAAAAAAATTGTTTTAGTTTTTAAATAGTTTTTGAAAAAATATATTATTATCACTTACCTTGTTGTTTAAGACTGTTCGACTAGGTTGCCCGAGTGTTTGAGCTACCAGTTCGTATTGCCCGTGTGTCAAACTGCCCAATTCTATTAGCCCACGTGGTCCTATCCACGTGCCCTTCTTAGCTTCATTAGGTAGCATAATTATGCTATTAGCTTAATTTTCCTTAAAGAAGGTTTTTCCGACCTTTAGTGGATAAGCTTATCTCTTAGGTCATACATCGACGAGCAAACCTCCAAGTTGAATTTCTATCAGGCTAGCCGAGAGCCCTTGCTTGCTGTTGGCGGTCTATCTTACATGTAGGGTCACCATCGACTTGGTGCTTCCACGACCTTAGACATCCTTGTTGTCTGACCGACCTATCTGTTTACCCGATTTGGTCAAACCACTATTTAGATCGCACACGATCTGGTATGGTAGCCCATATCATCATATCCCCATCCCCCTCCTCCTGCGATAACTCGATCTAAGAGTAGAACTAATTATTCCTATTTACATTATTTAGTGACGACTCGTTAGTTCGACCTTTCAAAACAACCCGTTGGACCTAACGGCAAGGTCTTAAGTTCAAAATTTTAAATTGAAACTTTTGGTACTAGTCCGACGTCCTTTAAAATCAGCTGACAACCTTATGTATCGACGTAATCACCCCGAACTTTATCCCATCCTTGGTCAGAGCGCCCATTAATGTTGCCTTCATCTCATCTATTAGATTTTTATTTTATCTGATGTTTGTAATCATTCTGTCTTTTCAAATTCCCTTTTTGATCTTACTCGTCGGTTTTGACCTGTTTCGGACAGCTCTGATTGACCATCCATTCACCTACCTTTCTATAAATCCTGGCAATTCCTTCCGACCTTCATCAGACAACTGAGGTTCATCGACCTCCTAGGCTTCCTCCTTTTCTCCCTATAAATATGCCTTTCTGTAAAACTTTTCGATTTTTTCCACCTTTACTAGAATTTTCCTGCTATATAGTTTCCTTGCAAAAATTTCTGTCTCCATTGCTGCTACTCTGCTGTCGACCACCGTGCTTTCTTGATGCTAACGATCAACTCAATCATGTCGTTCAGTAAGTTCTTTTTCTTTATTTATTGTCAATAAATCGCATGTTCAATTTCAGTTTCAATTTTCATTCCCTCAATACCTGTTTTTCATATTCTTCAAATTCACTTTCTTCCGATCAACTCAATCATGTCGTTCAGTAAGTTCTTTTTCTTTATTTATTGTCAATAAATCGCATGTTCAGTTTCAGTTTCAATTTTCATTCCCTCAATAATTGTTTTTCAATTCATATTCTTCAAATTCACTTTCTTCTTCCATGAATTTATTCCACAAATTGCTCCCTTGTCCTCTCGACCTTTTCATGGTCGATGAACACATATCCATTTGCTACTATTGTTAGAAGCACGTATCTAATGCTTCTTCTTCTTCTTCCATGAATTTATTCCACAAATTGCTCCCTTGTCCTCTCGACCTTTTCATGGTCGATGAACACGTATCCATTTGCTACTATTGTTAGAAGCATGTATCCAATGTTCAAGAATGCAACTGATGATCCAAGTTATTTGAAGGAAAGGGCTATACATGTGCAGATGTTGAATTCGTTGAATATATCAATAAATACATGTCGGAGATGAATTTGACTAAGGTCATACATATTTAAGCTCTGACAATACGTGTAAGTTCGATTCAAATAATGACTTCTTGTATGATCTCCACATGCCCAAGTTCTTGAATAGCATCAAGTGTTCAGGAATACCGAACCATGAATTGCATTTAAAAAAAGAAACTCCAATCATGTTACAGAACATAGATCATTTTATGGGACTGTTCAATGGGACACGCTTGGTTGTTACCAAGCTCTCCACTCATGTGTTCGAATGCAAGATATTGATTGGATATCGCGTTGGTGAGAAGATGTTGATTTCTCAGATAAACATAATTTCTTCAGATGGTAGGGTTCACATGTCATGACCATAAACAAGAGTTTGAGTCAGTATTTATGGCACGTTGGTATGTTCTTGAATAAACCTTTTTTTAGTCACGATCAGTTATATGTTGCTGTTTCACGTGTAATTTACATAAATGAGTTGAAAATATTAGTTTGCGGGGATAACGAGTTGCACAGTAATTAAACTATTAATGTTTTGCACAATGAGATTTTTGATAATATATGACTTTTTCATGATGATCATTTTATAATTACTTGGCAAACGCCATACATATTATAATGTATTGATTAATAGCCTTCAATTTATAATATTTTTGAAAATAAATACAATTATGCATCGCACGGGTCACGTACTAGTAAAATATAGATAAATGATCCATTGTATATTAGTTTATTTTGTTCATAACCGATTATCACATGGCGTTGGACTTGGATGTTAAAACTTAAAACAAGGATCACGGATCAAGTAAGCCCAAAAGATATTACATTTCGGCCCATAATAGCTAAAGGCTATTTCTACTTTGCCCAAATGAAGAGAGTATAAATTTGCAGACCTCGTTAGATAGGGTTTTTGTCGGCAAAGATTCAACCCACTGCAGTATTCAGGTACGCGTCGTTTGCTTTGTTTCAGCTCTCTGACGTACGAAGAGATTTTGAGCTACCATTGCATTTCCATAATTTCATTGATTAATTTTTTTGTCAAGATTAATAGTTTTAATGTTGATGCGACATTGGCTTGATTGGTCTGTGAGCTTTGCTAGAATGCTAACAAATGTTGGATATTTTTCCTGTAACGATAGATTTCATTGCATTGTATTTTGATATGGGTCTTTTTTTTTTCATTGTTCACTAGATATAGTGATGTGCAAGTGATTTTTCATGATGCTTGCTGGTTTCTTATTCTTTTTGTTTTTTGTTTTTGTTTTTATTTATTTTTAGTGTTGAACTCACGATGATTAAAATGATTTTATGATTGAGTTATGTGATTGAAAAAGGTTTAGATTTTTGCTTCCTTTTCTTCGATCTCTTGTCAGTTTGATAGTTCAATAATATTAACAGATTCATTTTTATTGTTTGTGTATTAGGTTGAAGGAGGCGATCAATGTCGCACAGGAAGTTTGAGCACCCAAGGCACGGGTCCCTTGGTTTCCTCCCAAGGAAGAGGGCAGCTCGCCACAGGGGAAAGGGTATCAATATAGTTGTTTCAATATGTTTTGTTCGATTGTTTTGCAATATGAGATGATGGATTAATTTTTGAAATGCTTTAGCTAATTGATATGTATTAGAAATGACTGTCTAATCAATATGAGCATCCACTAGCCATCTTTGAGAACAATTTGATATGGATATGTTTGTTTAATTGTATCTGACATATCAGATGAAAATCACCCGGCTTGTTAGTGTTTCAGCCTGGAGAATGGAAATAAAGTCTAAATTACAAGAAATAGGTTGAACTAAAATCGTTTTCTTTCTTTTATGAACATGTATGTATTTTTTTTTTATACCCTCTCTTCTGGACTATCTCGCTGTGTTGAACATTTACTGGTACTTTTTTTTATGCATGTTGCAATCCATCGATTTCGATACCTTTTATATTTCCTTTCTATTCTTGAATCTTACTATTACTAATCTTGAAATTTTCATTGGAAAATTCAGTGAAGGCTTTCCCTAAGGATGACCCTAGCAAGCCTTGCAAGTTGACTGCCTTCCTTGGTTACAAGGCTGGGATGACCCATATTGTCAGAGAAGTGGAAAAGCCCGGATCAAGTAAATTATTCCATCATTTCTTCTGGTTTTCTAAATGCAATTTTTATATGCTGATGTGTATGTTGTTAACGTCATCACTCTTTTATTCATAGTTTTTCAGCAGCCAGATATGTTCCAATATAGCCCTAAAGATTTATGTTTCTTTTTTTCTTATATGTTATTGTATTGCTTCTTTGAAACCTATTCTCTGAATTTTCAGAAAGTTGAATTATTACAATTTTATACTTTTCCTCTTAACCATTTGGGTCCCTAGTCTGCAATGTATAACGATTTTGAAATATCTTAATATTATTAGAAGCTTAAAAAATGGTTTTTTAATCCCGAAATAATGGCTGCAGAACTCCATAAGAAGGAGACTTGTGAGGCTGTTACCATCATTGAGACACCACCCATGGTTATCGTGGGTGTGGTTGGGTACGTGAAGACTCCACGTGGGCTTCGCTGCCTCAACACTGTTTGGGCCCAACATCTGAGTGAGGAGGTTAAGAGGAGATTCTACAAGAACTGGTGCAAATCCAAGAAGAAGGCCTTTACCAAGTACTCCAAGAAGCTGGAGACTGATGAGGGAAAGAAAGATATCCAGGCCCAGCTTGACAAACTCAAGAAATACGCGTTTGTTGTCCGTGTGCTTGCTCACACTCAGGTATCATTCTCAATTACTTGCCTGTTATTGCTAAAATTATTCAAAAAAATAAAAAATAAAAACTTTAAAATTGTGTTTGTATATGAAAAAAAACCCAATCCATACTTTTAATCCATACTCAAAATCTAACTCAATTTTAACCCAACTCCATTATCTTCGATATCATTAATATAATTAAATAATACCAACCAATCATTCTTACACTTCACATCTTCTTTAATTTACTATTCATTCACTCACATAATTTTAACTATCACTTCACATCATCTCTCTTCCACTTATAAAATATAAATCCCACTAACAACTAACTATACCATTTTTTTCAAAATTAACTCTAGTTAACCAAAAAAATTCATTTCGAGCGGACATATTTGTACACAAACACGCCCTAAATTTTAAACACCATAAAAAAGCCTTTCTTTTGCACGTGACATGATTTGTTTTTTTCCCTCGTATGTGTACAGATCAGGAAAATGAAGGGACTGAAGCAAAAGAAAGCCCACCTGATGGAGATTCAAGTTAATGGTGGGACCATTGCGCAAAAGGTTGACTTTGCATATGGTTTCTTTGAAAAGCAGGTCCCAGTTGACGCTGTCTTCCAGAAAGATGAGATGATTGACATTATTGGTGTTACAAAAGGTAAGGGTTATGAGGGTGTGGTGACTCGTTGGGGTGTGACCCGTCTTCCCCGTAAGACTCACAGGGGTCTTCGTAAGGTGGCTTGTATTGGTGCCTGGCATCCAGCTAGGGTTTCTTTTACCGTTGCTAGGGCTGGACAGAATGGATATCATCACCGTACTGAAATGAATAAGAAGATTTACAGGCTCGGCAAAGCTGGCAAAGAAGAACACACTGCCAGTACTGAGTTTGACAGGTTTGAATGTGTTATATACCCTGTTTGACAGGTTTGAATGTGTTATATCCCGTGTACTGTGATTTTACATGCTTCAATCCAAATCTACAAGTTGTGCATGTTTCCTTGTGGGTCTTATCAGCTTGTTATATTAAAAAACTCTGAAATTTGGAAAGTAAACTGAACTGTAGGTTATTAAAATTACTGTGTAAAACAAAAAAGACCTTGTTTACTCATAAATTTGCTCAAAATGAGTTTTTTCGATTAATCAGAGTTACTTTTGAAAAAAGTTGGATGGTTATTTGTTAGTGGGAATTTTGAGTTTATTATTAAAATAATATTTAAAATAAAATAACTGAAGTTGATTTGATGTAAAAGTAGGAGAGAAATTATGTGAAGTGATAGTTAAAATGATGTGAGTGGATGAATAGTGAATTAAAGTTGGTGTGATGTGTAAGAATGACTTATTTGTATTATTTATGTTGAGGATAGTGTGGTTAGGTTAAATTTGAGTTAGATTTTGAGTATGAATTGAATGTGAATGAATTATTTTGTAAAGAAACATGCTCTACAAAACTGACGACATTTTATGCCCTTTTACTGTTTTTTTCCTTTTAATTTTATTTGGGAGGTAATTTGAGTGAAATGATGTCAGGACTGAGAAAGACATTACACCAATGGGTGGCTTCCCCCATTATGGTGTGGTGAAGGATGATTATTTGATGATCAAAGGTTGCTGTGTGGGTCCCAAGAAGAGGGTCGTAACTCTCCGTCAGACTCTGCTGAACCAGACATCCCGTGTGGCGCTTGAGGAGATCAAGCTCAAGTTCATTGACACTTCATCCAAATTTGGACATGGCCGTTTCCAGACAACTGAGGAGAAGCAGAAGTTCTATGGGCGTATCAAGGCCTAGAGGTTCACATAACAAGACTCTGGGTTTTGATACTTGTTTATTTGGTCAAGTCATTTTGCTGGTGTCATAAGACTGGTAAAATTTTGAATTGTACGCTTGAGTTTTGTTTTCTCTGTTGTAGTTCTGAGATTCCGGAAGTTATATTTTGGGACCTTGTTGCGTTTTCTTGCTGATTGTTACCGTGAGTTATTATAGCATGAATTTGGCAGTCGTGTTTGTTTCTTCTTGTATTTTGTTTCTTTACTTTCAACTCGATGTTGAGTTTTCTTTGCATAGCATGTGAGGGTTTTCACACGGTGAGTTTGCAAAAACACTTCAGCTAGACAGCTACTCCTTTTTGTTTCTCTTGGTAATGTGTTTGCTCGTTACTTACTGATGCGTTCGCGCGTGTTTATGCGTGCACTTTCTAAACTTTACTTACTATGATGATGATCACATGCGGTCACGTGTGTTGGCATGGTAGAGAATCAATTTATTCACTAGTATCAGTCAAGGTGCGATGACCAACTTACAAAATCCTTGTAAAAAGCCAGTCATCCACTTAGACATCATTATTTTTCTTGCATAAATTATTTTGACATAAACAAAAGAATAATGTAAGTTAAAAATTAATGACAAATGAATCAAAAATCAATCATGCATAAACTAGAAAAGTTAGTGTGTTTTATTTGAAATAAAAATGTAAATGTGAGAATATAATGAAATTTAAAGGTAAATGGTGTAATTTTCTCAATTATTTTGTGTCATTTTTCACTTTTGTTGGGTCATCCATATGACAATTGGCCTACTGCTTGATTCTATTTACACCACACAGTTCATAGATCAAGTTAATAACTTTAAGTGGGAACCAACGAAGACAAATAAAAAGAAAAAAAGTGGAAATAGGAAAATCATGGAACAATCAAACTCCAAAATTTTACAAGGGGAACAGCAATTGCAGCAAAATAAACCCTTTTGGAGTTTGGACTACTATTCTTTCCGCCTGTGTCTTGCATTGGGTTTTGCTTTTCTAACAGCTTAAACCCATTGTGCCCAACCGCGTGGGAAAGGAATCTTCTGTAAATTTCTCCATCTATCTATTTTCTCTTCTCTTCTTTTTCCATTTCCTAGTGAGAAGGAAAAGGGGCCAAAGGTGTTGTTTGACTAAAACGAACATTAATTCGAGAGGTCATTCACACACTGAGGCCATCAAATCCGCACTGCTTGTATATTAACGACTGTTTTCTTGGGCTGATGGCTATCGTACAATCCACCGATACCTGCCAAAAAACAAATCACTCAATAATTAACGTCAAGGATCATATAATGCTTATAGCTTAAGATGATCGTTCCTCATTTTATAAACTGGCCATTATGAATTCAGTATATTTATACGCATATTACAATATCCATTGTGTTCCATGCTTAAGACGATCATTGTTCATTTGTACACTAGCTACTATGAATCTGTACGAATACGTATTATGATATATACCCATTATGTTCCATTTTGTGGGAGCATAATATAGCAATTTGACAAATGTGTTTTGTGATTTTTTCAGAAAACCCACTTCTTTCTTCCAAAGACAAATTGCTCCCGGTTCTTCAAACTTTGAGAATAATTACTTTCCACAAATTGCAACCAATAATTAGTTCAGACAAAAATGTTTGTACCTTTGATTACAATGCTAATAAGTAATAACCACATAATGCACCAATTATTTGTTGAAATGTGACTTATCCAACATAAATCCAAAACAAGAAGTACACGGCCTTTTCTCTCAAAATGGAACGGTGTGCATAAAAATTAACGTGGCAATCCTACAATTTGAACAAATACATATTTTAACCATGAAAGTGTCATAGTTTCTTTAAATACTAATCTGTAGACATTGTTCACACCATTCCACAAGTTCAATATCTCACGAGCATATTGGCTTACAGAACAATAATAAATCAACAAGACAAAAGTCCAAATAAGTTGGCTGACCTGAGACAACTGGCCACAACCTAAAGGCTAAAACATGGAGAAAGGGAAAAAATAAAGCAAAAAAAGAAAAAAAAAACAATCTTGAAATGGTGGCCACAATCCAATAATGAAGAAAAATTAGTGAACTAGGACAAGTAGAAAATTAGTGAACTAGGACAAGTAGGCTCGGTGCTTATATGGAACCCATGTAGCACCTCATTGTTAACCTAAACCCAACTCAAAAGGCTCCATTTTTTTTTTTTTTTTCAACTTGACGCCATATTTCTTGTTTCGCTTTCTCTTTTACTCATGTATTGTCTCTAACAAAAAACAACAAACGAACAAATCTCACAAAATTTCGTAAATGGCTTCACTGAGGATCAACGGCTACTACATTTAGTATAAAAATTTCAACTAGAACGCCATGAGAGCTTTTGCTTGAGGATAGCTAATTCAAAGGGTTGCAACAATTTAATAAATTGAAAGAGACAACATACTATTTATGCTTCACCTTGAATGCCAACTCACCTAACCCTAATCAAAGTTTACCCACAATCAAGATATAAAAAAGAGGGAATTCAGTAGCCCTGTTTTAATCTTTTCAAGATACAAAATTGTCTTAAAAATTACAGAGAAACACCATAAAATGTCAAGCTTGTGCCGGCGCATTTTAGCGAAAAATGTAATCATTTCTCCCAAATATAGGAACAAACTGCAAATACAGAAATTTGACATTCCCCTTCGGCAGCAAATATAGACATTCACAAAACATAAATTAAGAATGCAGCTTGTGGAGCTAATGAAATCAACCAAGAATAGTGCAATTGAACTAAAGAAGGTGTCAAATTAGGTTAAATATGTTCTCCGCAACAAACTGAAGTGAGAGAGAGAGAGAGGGCTAACCTGCACACCGGGCGAAGTAAAACCTAGAATACGGATCTTCGCCCCGACATCACCCACGACCCGGAGCTCGACCCGGTCGTTCAGCGAGGCGTCCCTCAGCAAATCGGCGGCGTCCGCTTGGAGCAGACTGACCCGATCCACGACGATGGTGGTCTCGACCCGCCGCACACTGTGAGCGGGCTGGTAGAACCCGGGTACCTCGCCCCGGCCCAGCGGTATCCCGCGGTACATGACCGTGAACCTGGACTCGCCGTACTTGATCCCCACCTTATTGTCGTTGGCGGCGGTGAAGAGCATCCGGATGTTGAGCGACACGGCGGCGGAGGAGGCGGTGGTGGGGCTGATTCCGACGTACTGGACGCCGACCTGCTGCAGATCGAACTCGGGCTTCTTCGGCTTCACGGCGAGGACGATGACGAGGATGACGGCGAGGACGAGGAGGGCGAGGAAGGAGAAGAGGAGGAAAAGGCAGCAGCAGCAGCCGCGAAGGGAGGCGGAGGAGGAGGAAGAAGAGGGTGGCGGCGGCGGGTAGTAGTGGTGGTGGTGGCCGTTCGCGGCGGAGGTTGAGGGAGGGGCTGCGGTGGCGGCGGCGATTGGCCGGGAGGTCATTTTGGAGATGGGATTTGGGGTTTTTTAGTATAGCCCTTTTCTTATGGAGAATTTGGAAATGGGGAAGGAAAGAGAAAAGGTTTTAGATGTCCCCACCACCACCACCACCACCTCACGGCGATGGACACCTCCTTTTTGCAGCTGCTTTTTTACACTCTGTTTTGTTTTCTTAGTACCGTCTTTTGCTTGCTTTTGAAGAGAGGGAAGTTGCGAAAAAGGAGGCACATGTGACACTGTGGGTGCTGCTGTGTGCAATATCTTATGATTATTTATTGAACTCGCTTAATTATTTTTTAATCTTGTTTGGGGAAGTTATTAACCATACTATTGAGTATTGATAGTTCCTATTATAGGATGTTTGGGTACAAATTGTCTCAAAAGAATTCAATTATTTTTAATCATTTATTTTTTTAACTCAAATTTAATTAAACCCTACTATTAACCAAGCTTGTAGATCCAGTTTTGTACAAATTATCATAAGATAGGTAAGCTTGCACCTATAATGAATCATCTATTTTTTTTATGATTCCATCTTTTTCTGCAAAGCTGATGTTAAGCATACTCAATTAATCTGTGGTATTCTTGCTCAATATGATCTGTAGTCTGGTCAATCTGTTAATTTTGACAATTTTTCCATCATGTTCTCTAAAACCACTTCTGAAGGAACACAACTACAAAACTGTAGAATGCTCTATGGAATTAACAGAGTCAAATTCTCTAGATATTTAGGATTATCACTAGGAGTAGGGAGATCCAAGGAAGACACAATTTAGTTTGTGAGTGACGGTGTGAAAAACAAGATTTTAGTTGGAAAAACAAATTTCTGAGTGAGTCCGGAAAAGAGATTTTAATTAAATCTCTATTGAGTGCACTATCTACATGTATGATGTCATGTTCCAGAGTCCCCATCACCATCATCAACCAAATTTGTAGAGACATAGCTAACTTCAGGTGGGGAAAAAATGTGAAGGGGGGAAATAGGTTGCACTGGGCTGAGTGGGGGAAGTTAATTGAGTCTAAAGAAGAGGGGGTTGGGGTTTTAAGGATTTTAGAGTCTTTAATGAATCTCTTCTTGTCAAACAGTTGTGGAGAATTCAAACTTCCCCAAACCTGTTAGTGAGTAAAGTGTTAAAAGACAAATATTTTTTGAACAAGAACTTGTTGGAAGTTAAAGCCAAGAATGAAGATTCTTGGCTTTGGAAAAGTTGGTTGAGTGCTAAGAGTTCTTTTAGTCTAGGTGCCATATTTGAAGTGGGAAATGGGGACTCAATTAATGATGTATTATAAGTATTTATCTAATCTAATAATTTATATGACAGTTCCACACGTACTTATTTATCATTATAGTTAATAACAATATATATTACAATTTTTTTCTAAGCTAACAATTTACATCATTATTCGATAGGTCACTTGTTGGTTTATAATCATAATTTATAACAATTTACATTACAAATTTTTTTCTAGGTTAATAATTTACATTGATAGTTTGACAGATGATCCGTTGGTTTGTCATCATAATTTGTAACAATATATATTATCAATATTTAGATTTTATTTTTCTGAACTAATAATTTGCATTCCAGGTAGACATAATTGATTATAATTTTTATTTTGTAGTTATATTTTCAATTTTCTCATGCATATTTAAATAATATTTTCTACAAGCAAAACCTATTTAATAGTCGCTTTTTTGAAGACATGTTATAGAAAAGTTATGCTATTAATCGAATTGCACGATTTGCAAGAGGTCGGTATAATTTTTTTTCAAGTATATTAAAGTTATTTTTACAATATTTCCTGTAATCATCAGTCAACCAATTTAATTACCAAGTCAAAGTTACTATTTTAGATTATTCCAACAACCTCTTTCAGTATATATAGATATTTGTTCCTATTCTTATTCATTTTTTTTTTCTTTGTGTATTTTATAATTTATGTAATACAATCACTATTTATTCTAACTAGTTTTTGTCCCGTGCATTTGCACGGAAAACTATATGATACATGAAAAAATAATAAAAATTATAAACAATAATAAAAATCATAACAAATTCATTGAAAAAAATTAAGAAAAAAAATATAAATATTCTTAAACACTTCTTTATAAAACAACGTCGTTGTTTTTCTATCGTCAAAATCTCCCTCAGCTCAAATCAAAATCTTCAAACCCCACTGTCTCGTAACTCTAAAAAGCGCCACGTATAATTGCTCATGTAGCTCTTCAGTAGTAAGCCGACGTGCGACAGAGACTGTCTTTGACTCTTATTGATCATGGGCAAAAATTTAAAATTGGTCCTACAATTTAGCCACTGTCCAAAAAACCACCCCGATATTGACCACTTTCAATTTAGGTCATATAATTTGTCAATTTCATCAATTTTGGTCATTTTTTATCCGCACCCTGGATTAAAAAGTGACGTGGCATGAAAAAAGGACCAAAATTGATGAAATCGACAAATTATAGGACCAAAATTGACGTGCCACGTAGATCATAACCACGCCATGTAAAATTAAAAAACTGACACGTCATGCCACGTCACTTTTTAATCCAGCGTGCTGATGAAAATGACCAAAATTGATGAAATCGACAAATTATAGGACCTAAATTGAAATTGGTCAATATCGGGGTGGTTTTTTTTGGACAGTGGCCAAGTTATAGGACCAATTTTGAAATTCTGCCTTGATCATGTCATAGCATAGGAAAAACTTCTTTATATTGTTTGTCCTTGACTCTTATTGATTGATAGAGATTGTCCTTGCTTCTTAATAAAAAAAATACCATCTAAATATAAATGAGTAAATATAATATTAATTTTTTATATAAACAAAAAATTTAAAGTAATTGATAATGAGTATAGAATTACCCTTGCGGATTCAAGTTATTTCAACGATGTTCTTTTTATATATCTAAGATTTAATTTTTTTTTCTGATTTATATGAATATAAGCACATTTGACTAATTTTTATAAAATTTATTGAAAAAAGTTACTATTTTTTTGAAAAACTGATAAGATATTAAGATAATACTGTACTTAACATAAATGTGGGATTAATTAAAATAAATCTTTTTAATTTAGTCATTAACTAATTAAATTTAATTATAAAAAACCTTCTTAAATGTGAAATTAATGAGTAATTAATTAAAAAAAATGTAACTTCTTTTGGAGGGAAAGTGAAAATATTTTTATTAAATGTTTTATTAAATGGGATTAACTAGCAAATATATATATATATAGATTTATTATATAAGAATTTATTTAATTAAGTAATAAAGTGTAAAATAATATGATTTGTACTTAGTAAAAATAAATTAAAATAATACGAGAGTTAAGTTTCTCCAGAAAATAACTAATATAGTTGATCGCATAGGTAATTTGTACTTGCTCAATTAACTTCACCTGTCTGTTGCATACTTTATTACATAATTTATTTCTCACTTTCCAATGATCTTCGTCTGTCAGTCGCATAGTTGATCACATAAGTAATTCACACTTGCTCAATTATCTTTGCCTATCTGTCGTACAACTTTTTGCGTCAATTATCTTTGTCTGGTTGTCACATAGTTTATCGCATAATTGTGTCGCACTTTATAAATCATGTTCATATGTTTATCGCATAACTGTTTCACTTTATCAATTATGTTAGCATGTCTATAGCATAGTTTATCACACAACTATTTCGCACTTCCTCAATTATCTTTGCATGTCTGTCGCATAACTTTTTGCCTCAATTATCTTTACCTGTCTGTTACATAGTTCATCGCATAATTGTTTCGCACTTTATCAATTACATTCGACTATCTGTCGTATAGCTTTTTGCATGAATTATCTTCGTATGTCTGTCGCATAGTTTATTGCATAATTGTTTCGCACTTTATCAATTATGTTCGTTTGTATGTCGCATAATTCTTTGCATCAGTTATCTTCGGCTGTCGGTCGCATAGTATATCGCATAATTGTTTCGCACTTTATGAATTATGTTTGCTTGTTTGTTGCATAACTATTTCGCACTTATTAAATTATGTTCACATGTCTGTCATATAATGTATCGCATAATTGTTTCGCACTTTATCAATTATGTTCGCCTGTTTGTTGCATAGGCTATTGCATTATTATTTCGCACTTTATCAATTATCTTCGTCTGTCTGTCGCATAACTTTTCGCATCAGTTATCTTTGCACGTCTGTCGTATAACTACCACATAATTACTTACCACTTTATCAATTATGTTCGTCTGTTTGTCGCATATTTTATCAGATTGCTACTTCACGCTTTATCAATTCTACTCGCATGTCTGTCATATAGTGTATCGCACAATTATTTCGCACTTTATAAATTATGTTCGCTTGTTTGTCCCATAGTATACCATATAACTCTTTCACACTTTATCGATTATCTTCGCCTAACGCTCGCATAGTTAATCGCACAATTGTTTCATACTTTATCAATTATGTTCGCCTGTTTTGTCAAATATTTTATCGCATTACTATTTCTTACTTTATCAACAGATTCTTCTTTCATTTTCAATTCCTTTCGGGTCGGAAACGCGGGTTGCTGGTGGGGCACGGAGAATTCTTCCGCTTTACAACCGGGATAAGAAACCTTATAACGAACCCCCATGAGAAAATGGGATTTGAGAGGTGCTACGAGGCTCGACGTCAAGGAATTATGTTTGGTACTTTTTTTTTCTCAAAAAATTATCTACGATCTGACGCATAGCTTGTTGCATCAATTAACTTCGCTTGTCTGTCGCATATTGTATCTCATTATTGTATTGCATTTTACAAGTTATGTTCACATGTTTGTCGCACAATTTATCGCATATTTATTTTTCCATTTAGTAGTTATCTTAAGTCTGTCTTTCGCATAGTTTATCGCCTAACAGTTTCGCACTTTAACAATTATGTTCGCTTGTTTGTCGCATAGTGTATCGCATAACTATTTCACACTTTATCAATTATCTTCGTTGTGTCGCATAGTTTGTCGCATAATTCTTTCGCACTTTATCAATTACGTTCGTATGTTTGTCGAATGGTATATCGCATAACTGTTTCACAATTTATCAATTATCTTCGTCTGTATGTAGCATAATTATTCACATTTTATCAATTATCTTCGCCTTTATGTCGCATAGATTAGTGTATAATTGTTTTAACACTTTATGGGGTGAAAAAATTAACTTTTTATTTGAAGGTGTATAAAACTTATTTTGTCTTCAGATCGGGGTGAAAATAGTTATTTTCTCTAATATTTTAGTAACTTTAACATGTCGGGTGGATTGAGTAGAGTACATTGTATGTACATAAAAGTTATGTACTCTTATAATTTTTCATTGGACATTTGATAAATACTTCGTACAATTTTTTTTGCTCAAATTTTAGTTTTTTAATCGATTCTTATTTGTAAATATCATTTTGACAAAATATACATCAATAAAATTATTTATTTATTTAAATGATTTTATATTTTAATTTCATAGTTCTATTTTTAAAGTTTATTTTGTACGAATATATTTTATGTAAACTAAAATGTAGCACGAATAACTGAAGACGTAATTTATATTTTGCAATTGTCCACTCTAGAGTAGATTATAGTGTGGAGGTAGAGGTCGAGAGCTAAAACTAGGGAGTAAGATTGGAGGTGGTCCAAGTGTCCCTCCTTGGACGGCCGCCCCATGGGCCACGGCCTCTTCTAGGTCTCCTTCCCCTCGAAAAACTCCATCACCAGCTCCCGCACTCTCGGGATCTTCGCGCTGCCCCCGCTCAACACAATCGTGTCAATATTCGATTTCTTCAAATGCGAATCCTCGACCACCCTCTCAATCGACCCTAACATCATTTCAAACAAATCCGCGTTCAACTCCTCGAATGTCGCCCTTGTAACTTCCTCCGAAGAGTGAAACCCTTGGAACACGACCTCCACCCACACCCAATCCCGACTACTGAGGCCCAATTTGGCCCATTCGCATTCCCTCACTAGCTTCTTGAGCGCCTCCTTATCTTCGGTGATGTTGACTTTGTGCTTCTCTTGAATGAGTTTGGCCAAGTGGGCCGCGAGACGGCGGTCCAAGTCGTTTCCCCGAGTCGGGTGTCGCTTCTCGTGGCGAGCACCTTGAAGACGTTGTCGTGCTCGACAGCCACGACGCGCGTGTCGAGTGTCCCGCCGTCGAGGTCGAAAACGAGGGCCTTGACCTTCTTTACGAAGTGGGGCACGAATGGATGCAGCAGTCGGGCTTGGGCAATAGCGGCGATAGTCGGCTCGTCCATGATGCGCTCCACGTGGAGTCCTGCCATCACCGCTGCCTCCTTCATCGCATTACGCTGTGCCTCGTTGAAGTAGGCTGCGCGCAAAGG